TGTATGTATGTATGTATGTATGTATGTATGTATGTATGTATGTATGTATGTATGTGTGCGTATGTGTGCGTGTGTATATTGGTGTGTTTGTGTGTGTGTGTGTGTGTGTGTGTGTGTGTGTTTGTGTGTTTGTGTGTGTGTGTGTGTGTGTGTGTGTGTGTGTACGTTCACGCATAAGTGTGCATTAGTGTCTATACTATACTCGACTGTCTATCAAGTCAGTCAACAATTTACTGATCTCTCTGTCCATTTTTTTGCCTTCCTCTCGCTTTCGTATTTTAGTTTGGTTTTTTTTTTTGGTTTAACGTTGTATTTTGTAAGCTATTGTGAGCTAGAAGGAGCGTAGCGGCATTATCGTTAAGCCAGTCAGTCGGTCAACAGGTTGAGCAGAAGACAGAGACAATAATCCCCTCTTTTCTGTTGGCATTTCAATGGTCGCTGTTGTGTCATTGAAAACACGAACCCATGACATTTCCTCACCCATCTCTGACTTATATGTACAGAGTTTTGGAGAGTTTCTCTGGGCATTGCGTAAACTCTGGATAGAAGGGCATTGTAGCGCCAGTTGCACGACATGTGAAATGGCTGACTGCACTAGACTAATCGTTGCCTCAGAATTACAATGTTTTATCTGACATTTTTGAGCATTTTAAGTTACTAAGATCATGAGGTCAGAAACCAAATTAATGTTCTGTCTGCTCTATCAAAATCTTAAAACATTCGGAGACGTTATCAAGATTTTCAAAGAATTGCATTTTAAAAAGTTTGATGCAATAGTGAATATTATTTAAAAAAGACGTCAAATTTCTCAAAAAAGGTTCGGAGCAGACATAACTTTGTATTTATGAGGTAACACTATGTTACCTCACATAAATTGTGCCTATTGATGGAAAGAATTTCAGTAGCCTTTTTGTGACTCATCTATCAGTAAATTTCGATTTTGCCTACCGATGTCAGAGTTCTGAGGCCCCAGGTTGAGTGGGGAAGGGGGGGTGAGGGGTAATATGTTCTTGTTCGTGAAACGTTTTCAAACGTTACAAGGATTCATTCTTATTACAGGTGGGTGATCACATGTTTTTTGAACTTATAGAAACCCCGCCTAAAATGTAAAGAACATTTTTCATATGGTATGTGCAGTTATCATAGTTTGTCAAAATTATAATTTTTATGCAAATCTGAAAAGGCAATGCTGGCAGTATGACAGTCGCAAAAAATTATGTTGAAGACGCTAAGATAGGTATGTCAAACTGTTGGGATACGGAACGACCAAAATGTTAAAGTTAAAAGAATACTCGTATCATCGATTCAAACTCAGTAAATCAGTTCTTAAAGAATACAAGGGCCCAGAGTAACAACGGTATTTTATCAAACAATATTATTGTCGATGGAATGATTTATTGGCTTCACTGCCTGATTATGACTTGCGCATACCGTACGTCAGTCGAAGACAAACAGTTGTACAAATGATGCATGGAAAAGCGTCGCACTGACAAGTCAGCCATCCATTCTCGTGAAACGTGGATATTGGAAAGAGAAGCCGACTCTGAGTGCTAAAGCTTGTAATATTCCTCAGACCCCACCGGATCGTTACTGAAAGTGTTGATCATGACTGGGCGTTAACCTCCGTCATCGCCCCTGGTACAGCTCTCGGAAACCAAGATCAAAGTTTAAGAGGCGTTCTTCTAAAAACAATAAGATATTATTATAAAGTACAAAAAAGCAAACCATAACATATCATTGATTCTCCACTGTCAGAAACGTAACAGCGTATTTTCTCCTGTGTTTGTTATAATTTCGAAAATGTCCATTGAAATGTTGCGAAAGCAACTTTCACTATAAGCACTGTCAAATTCTATACTCTATTTAAAACTACCTTCAGATTCGGACATTCATTTTAAAATACAGCATTATGTTTTTCGTATCTGCTCAGAATTTGGCGTTCTATCTCAGAAAACGTATTTGTCTGTTCCATTAATCAAGAAACAGGAGCTGGATTACTTCCTCATCTTGACCGAACACTGTCCGTGCACGCACGCTGTTATCTCTAGCTCCCATAATCTCCTCTTATTTGTCCCCCGAGAGCACTCACTGATAAGACTTGTGTCTCTGGCCTCAGAATCTTGGCACTGGTTCAGAGACCCACCCCGGCCCCAGTTCCACTTTTCTACCTTTTACGTCGACTCGTTGAGGCAGACAACGCGCCCCTGCAGTGTTTCTCAGAGACGCAGACTCCAGTGTGAAGCCTTGAAATCTCTTGGGGAAATAGAATGGTCATTTGTGGGACCTCATTTTGACGACTCGATTAGCGAGACATTTATGAGTCCAGAGAAACAGCGGTACAAGCTTCTGTCTTGCTCTCTGTGAGTATCAGTTGGTGCATACGGCAGAGAGCAGAGCTGGTCATTCAGCCCGGCCGTTGTCACCCTTATCCACACCAACTCTTTCTTCCACACCTCACCCTCCCCCTTTCCGAGTCATAATTCTGTAGTTTTTTTGTTTTTTGTTGTTGCTGCTGTTCTATGTCTTACTCTTTCTACTTCCTTATAATTGGTGTAGACGTAGCGTAACTGACTCAATTTGTAGTTCTTATATGGGGTGTCTCCTCCATCTTTTCATTTGAAGTCTATTACTTTATCAGTCATCTCGGTGGCATTGCAAAGGTGACAAACGTTTTGTGAAATACACTCCAGATCATTCTATAGACAGGGGTAAGATGACCTGCGTTTCGATCGAAAATAATCAGGTTTCACGGCTTGGAGCTAACACTTAAGCAGGACCTTTCTGTAATTCCCTTAGAAATAAAAAGGTTTCCAAACAATTAGTGTGCCCTTTATCATGACACAATAACCCAAGGGTGTCCGTGAGGTAATGGTCTTGCTCTTCCTCTTGCCAGCAAAATGCGTGTTTTCGACTTGCAAGGATGCGTTTTCTAATCAAATTGTCGACGCTTCCTTTCTACAACCAACAGGATAGTGTATCATCCATGATTTTTCACGAGCCATCGAAAAAAACCAGAAGTCTTTTAAACGGCATATTAAAGTAATATTCTAGTTTCTTTCATGTTTAGAGCACTTGTTTATACAAACATTATTACCACCAGCCTTATCCACCCCCACCCCTCGCGCAAACAATCACGTTCTATTCCTTCAACATCACCTCCTATTAGTGTCCGGCAGGACACTATTCTCATATACAAAAAAACCCAATTAAAAACTGTTGTATCCACTCCCAGGTACTACTCTGCCACCATTATCCGCATGTCTGGGGTAAAAAGCGACGAGGCTGCCATCTGGCTATCTGCTGTCACAGCCGCCGTCAATTTCCTCTTCACACTCGTCGGCCTGTACCTGGTGGAGCGGATAGGGCGCCGGCCCCTGGCCCTGGGCAGTCTGATGGGTGCTATCATCAGCTTGGCCTGGCTGGCCGTAGGCTTTCACCTGTCCGCCCTCAACACGCCCCCTATTGACCTTATAGAACACGGCACAGATGCATATCGATGTTCGAGATACAGGTAAAATGCAGCTAGTCAAACGGATGTGTATGTCTTTTCTTTCAGTGTCAGCAGGAAGCCCACAGTATTCTCACTTCCCTTCTTAATCTTTCATCGATGTTCAAGATACAGATAAAAAGCAGAGAGTCAAACGTATGTCTTTGTCTTTTCTTTCCATCTCAGCATGAAGTCCCCTGTATTCTGACTTCCCTTAATCATTCATACCCTTACAGCTCCAGTCGCTTATATTTCCCACACAGGGCACCGGCCCCCTCAAACCTAGTCACTTACATGTACAATCATCTATCTAATTGTCTCTTAAAAGTATTCAAAATGTTATCAGCTAAACACTCTAAAAAAGCAGTATATCATTTTCTTTTTATTGTCTACAAAACGTATCAGAGACAATCGGTTTCAGCTGCGCCTGAAAAGTGAAGGACTCCAGTATTACGATTACCTGGACCACTAGACCAGAGGGAGATGAGAGCTAAAATAGCCTGCATCTGTAAGGGTTAATTACTCCATAGAAGCTTTGTTTTCCCGCTGCAAACACATCTCGCCCAGATCTTTTTAACGTTTATTTACCAGTTCATTTTTCCCCGAAAGCATTAGCAGGATTAACAACTTCTGCCTTCTGTCAAATGCCACAAACAAAGAACCAGTGTTGCTTCACGTCTATTTATGCATAGTACCAACGAGAACGTCCAGTTTTCATTAACACCACCGCTCTTTGAGGTGTTAATATCAGATTTATTTCCGTCCCCATCTCGTTTGGATCTATAATGCTCTCCTTGCTAAAAATGGACCCAAGCAACCGCTGAGGAGTAAATGTCATTCGAGAATTGTGTTTGAAAGTAATTTCCACCCTCCTCTCACCCAACTTAGACTTTGGCAATCGCAGAACGTTTGTTATAACAATACATTTTTCCTCAGAAAATAGAAGCTGTGTTATTACATTCCTCTCTGTCGTGCCCTATCTTCTTTTCATTTTCAGCTCGTCTTTTAACTCTTCCCCCTGGCTTGAGGGTTTTATTCTCAGGTCTTACTTCTTTCCGACCCCTCTGCTGTTTCCATCAATCTGTCTCGCCTTTTTTCCTTACATTTTATAACTGTCATCATATCGATGTGTATCTTTATTCGAACAAAAGAATCTTCCTTATCTTTCATTTTCTCCTCTCACTCACTTCTCACCCCTCACCCCACGCTGATCTAAACCGTGTCGATGGGGGCATTAAAGACACTTTCATTTTAAAAAAACAATATAATACCCCCACCTCAACTGCACACTACTCCTGCACACCCCTCCCCACCTCAACTGCACCCCCACCCCCTTCCACCCCCCAGGTCATGCAATGACTGTCGCAGAGACTTAGACTGCGGCTACTGCTACGTAGACCAGCCTGACTTCGTGACCAACTCGTCCTGCCTCCCCACATCTTACGACAACCCGTGGACGGCTACAGTGGGCAGGTGTAACAGCAGCACCTTGCAAGGAGGCCTCACCTGGGCTTATGACTACTGCCCAACACCCTACTCCTGGATGCCCATGGTCGGCCTGGTCCTCTACCTCATCTCGTTTGCACCGGGTAAGCTGGGTTCTTTGTTGAGAGTTACTGTGTAATTATCAATCCTTTAAAAAAAAAAGTACTTTGAAAAGAATTATCATCTATTTATTCATTATGGTCTATTTATTCATTTTAAAAAAATCTTTAAGAAAGAAAGACAACATGAAAGTAAGAAACTATAAGGATACACAGCAATATATATTTTTCAGGCGTAAACATTTGAAGAACAAGTAAGCCAATGTGATTGAAAACATGAACAATAATAACAGCAGCAGCAGCGGCAGCAGCAGCGGCAGCAGCAGCAACAACAACAACAATAACAACAACAACAACAACAACAACAGAAACAACATCTTTCTCCAGGATACTTTTTCCTGTACCTCACCTAGGTTCCATAAAGTGGGAATCTCTCTGCGATTATCATTACTTTTAAAAGACAATGTCAAAAGTAAAACTGACAACTTACAGTGTAATTAAATAATGGTAAAAGTGGAAATTTTAACCTAAACTGTGAAGTCCTCGAAATCTCTTCTGAGGACTTTTGATGACTTTGTTTAGGAAGACAAACGTAAATATTACTATTTTACAAACGAGGTGAACTGGGAGTTGACACAGAAAGCAGCGCTAGTGGAGCTCAGTCGCTTGGCTTTATCCAACGCCAACGTGTGATATTGATAGCGAATGTTGACTATTAACAAACCGTGTTGACTACCTATTGATTACAATGAGCGAGGCAAATGAATGAGATTGATGGTTGGTTCCCATATGGAATAAGGATCAACATAAGAAATACTAATATGGAAAAATAGAAGTCGGTCTTTTTCAATTCATCACTTGACCCTGCATTAGGCATGGATAAGCCTTAGCAAAAATTGTAAGGCACTGTCAATATGGCTCAAGTGGCGTGGGTCAGAATCCAATTTCAACTTAGTATCGATTGTGGTTCTTTCCTCTCAGCTCCAATTCACGTCATACTAGATCAGGTATTTTGTCGTTGTTCTTTTTTTATTGTTCTTTTAAATCTCGGAGTTGTTACGGAACCTTCGATTAGAACGACGAGGGTTAGACCGACAGTTCTGTGGTGCCCCTTGTTACGACATAATTACGAGCTTCCCTGGAACAGACATTGCTGCGTGAGCAGTCTTATTGAGTCAGACGACGAAGCAGTCCACGTAGAATTGGTCATTTTAGGCTTCCTAACGATTCGCCTTTTCTGTAACATAGACACAAGATATTATTCATCTTTCACCCAGTCTTATTGCTTTACCTTTTCAGAGAAAATGCACAATCCGGTTTATTAGTTTGTACAGTACGTGCAGCACTACTAATTATATTTACGAATTGCCTCTTTGATAAGATCAAATGTCTAAAGCGACCTAAACAACAACGCTGTGCCCTTGGGAAAATCCCTTAATTTTAACACGAATTTTGCTCACTTCGCCTTGGTTGGAACGGGAACCCGTTTATAGAGAGCGAAAGATCTTGTCAGTGTGTGTTTTAGTGCCTGTAATCGGCAACTTGCATTGCATGTTTCTCGGGAAGCCAAGAATGCTTCCGAGAGTCGTGTTTAAGGTTTTGCTGGGAATATTAACCCCTTCCCTGCTCGGGCTGTCTCGGGCCCTCTGGTTGGACTATAAGAAGAATGGAATTCCTGGGTTACATAAATCTTGTTATAAATAGTCGTAAAAGCACGTGTTTTTTCGTTGTATTTGTGTGTGTGTGTGTGTGTGGGGGGGGGGGGGGGAGGTGGTAACGAAATAAGTACAGGCGAAAGAGGCAAATATTAGACATGAGTTGGGTTTTTTCACTTTAAAATGTTCCTTTGAGGTAGTTTTTTTTTTGTAAATTGGATCTCAACGGAGCCATAAGTTTCTTAACAGTTTTCAAATCAATATCTTCCTCGGAACTTCTATAGTCTGGCTTCCAGACGTTAAAGTTTTTGGTTGCCTTGCTTTGAGCTCTTTATCCTTGTTAAATCTTTGTCTAGTCAAAGTATTATCGTTCGGTACTCTAAGGTTAGGCTGAAAACCCTTGCCCTTCTTTCCTGCAATCGCCATTATGCCCCTTTTCT